AGACATAAAGATTGATGGGTGGAAATTTATTCACAGTCTTGGTTGAATGATTAGAAGGTCATGTGCCCTGTTGTGAGCCACACAACAGATGACCTAACTAGGTAACTACCTAGCAACAAATGCATGTATTTACTGCTCAACAGAGGTAATAAAAGATAAAATTTAAGAAATTAACAAACACAAGACTACGAGGAGCAAAATTCCAAGGGTAACTATGTCACTAGAAAAACTTGTCACCCACCAAATCAGATATACCTAATCTTGAATTTGAGGGAGGATGATGATTAAGATAAGTATTAAGCTAGTTCCATCGAATGGAAATTATTCAATTTTTTAATTTGTGTTTGAAATAGTTTTTTAGCATAATTACGCTCAATTAAGTTTTTATATTTTTATTTTAATTAAAATAAAATTTTACGATTAATGATTGATTATTATTTTTATATTATTGACGTGAAAAATAAAAAATATCATGTGATTATATTATTACGTCGCATCAACATGTTATGTTATCATTATAACATGTCAATATATCTTATCAATGCTAAATTTTTTTAAATAGTTTGGGAGCTTTTGTAAGTATTATGTATTTTTTTTTTCTAAAATGTTGAATTTGATGCATATCTTGCAATCCAATTTTTCATTTATTGAAAATCTCTTTGGGGTTTAATGTCTCATAAAGCATATTGATTGGGTTCTTTTCTGAGTGTATGTTATGCGATTATTCTTACTATTTTGTTGCCTTCTGATTTCTTATTTTGTTATTTTTCTTTTTGGACTTCTAGCAAAGTTGGTATCAATGCTGTGACTTGCAGCCACTCTTCTCTCAATACCTTTTACACCCATCAATTGTCTCAAAGGACAATGATATAATACATCTGCCTTTTATCTTATCTTATTTCCTTTAATTTGATCAAAGACTAATCCCCTTTAACCTTTTTTTAAAGATGGATTTGATAGGGGATGAAAGTAGGTATAAATAACATGGTTTGGGTTAAGGAAGGTATCAAACAAAAAAGCAGGTATGATTGATGGACTAAGGTCAACATATTGTGACAACTTTTCAGCATAAAAGAAAGAAATGGTAAATATGGTAAAAAGAGGGGCATACCCCATAATGCTACTTTGGCAGCTCTTTGTTGCCTTTCACGAATGACTCATAATTAGGCTTCTTAGATAAGCATAATAGATAAGAAGAAACCAAGATTTTCTTCTTGTTTTTTCCCCCACCCCATTGATGGCATTAACCACAACAAAGCACAGCAATGATAGCCATTTGATGGATTTTTTTAATTTTTTTTCTGCTTTTTATGGCGTTGACATTTTGATTTTTTTTCCACCAAGGTGTTGATTGTTAGATAGAATAAATAGGTAAAAAAATTCAAAATATTAATGCTTAGACCAACTTTAGCAATATTGAATAATGTTTGGAGAACAACCCATTAAATGCAATTATTAGATTTTAATAGTTGTTGGGTGCATGACAGAAAATGGGTTATTAAATTCTTTAGCTATTAGCCATAAATTGACTTTGTTTTTGTGACCCATGATTTTCCATTTCCAAATCTGGGCCTATTGATGTTGGGGTCTGGATATTGAGCTTACCCAAAACCACTTTTTTCAATTCAACTCAGGGTCTGCGTATTAATGGGCTGAATGGTGAAAGCTTGGATATCATGATTAATGAGGGATTGGTACCAAGGCAAAATGTACCTGAGGTTCCGGGTTGGGCCAAGATTCAACCCGGTCACGATGCTATTGAATTAATACAAACTCGAATATATACATATATAACTTGATCCGAACTAGTCGGGTCAAGTCGATTTTCGTATTTACTTGATCCAAGTTGCAACTCTAATTGAGAAAGCATAATGTACCAAGGAGTACTAAGTTGATATGGGATTCAGCTTGGTGACCATGTTTGAATTAATACAGATCCGAAAACAAAAGGACCCGATTCAACTTGCTAGTCAGGTCAAGACGATATCTGTGTTTTCTTGACCTAAGATGTTACCATAATTGATAAAATGCAATGGGTTATTGTGGATGGGGTTTGGTTAGAATTTAAAGTGAATTGATAAAATTGATTTTAAAATATGTTTTTAACAAATGTTTTTTTAAAGATTTATTTCACTTCATCATTTGATATGTAAAAGAGAATGATGTGAATAGTTTTAGAAACACATTAAAGTTATTGTCTAATTTTATCTTATATTTTACGAAAGTAGTTCATTAGATACACGTGTTTGTAAAGTTGTTTTAGTTTTAAAGTCTACTTTTGTAGCATGTAAATTGCAAATAATTTGGAAAACGATGAAAATTCAAGTGTTTATGTTTAGTTTTTGAATTTTATTCAGAATATAATATTTTTTTTGTCTTAATTTTTCTACTTTTATCTTGTTTTGTTTTTTGTGTTAAAATGGTTGGCAGCAAGTTTTTCAGTTTAAGGATATAACTCTCTTGTCAAGGCATCTCTATGTTTTAAAGTTTTCTACATATTGCGAGACAGTCTTTGAATGAATGTATTGTTTTAACAATTATTTTATGAAAAGATAACTATTCATATAAAAAGATAGAACTTTTGAGTTATAATATGAAAAATTAACTTTTCATATCTAAACTTTTGAACTGTCATGTTTTTTAATTATCTCATAACTTTTAGATTTAGAAGTATTTTTTCAACATATCGCATTACTAAGAGATATAACTATTCACATAAAAATCTATTTACTATCTAATTGTTGCATTATGTGATATAACCTTTCTATTAATGTGACTTTCGAATAGTCATAACTTTACATATAGAAAAACATAAATTTTTGTTTACAATTGTTCATATGAAGAGATGTATTTGAGAAATATCAACGTAACGTATCCAAAGAGTACTAGGCTTTCAAGAGGGTTTGCCAAACATCTTAATGAAACTAAGGGGTACATAAGATATGGCATAAATGGTGTTCAAAAGAGGTTAGGCAAACACCTTTGTCAAAATAAAAGATATTTCTAAGATACATTTACTTGTTACATAGAGATGTTTTTCCAATTTTTTCATCTAAAGTATAGGTAGGCATATGGCATTCTTTTCTTAAGGGATGATTATTTCTATTTAAACCACCAAGCTAATAACAAAGAAATAAAAAGGGAAAAAGGAAAGGATTTAACATTGAAATGGTTCAATGCTTTTTTATTTTCAAAGGATAATACAAATTTGGAAAGCAAACATTACGATCTGTTTGGTATTAAGGAAGTTAAGCACCTTATAAAGATTTTAATTGGATATAATCACTTTACCATGTTTGATGTGGTACTTTATAATGTAATTGAGAGATCAAAAGGGTATGTGATTCCCTAGACGAAAAGTGATTCCTTCGATGGAAAGTGACTTTTCAATGGAAGATGGCAAGTCAAGAGATTCAGTTGGACATATATACCCCTTTAAGTTAAATATTTAATAAAAATAAATATTTAATAATTTTATATATTTTGATATTTAAATAATTAATATTAAAATATTATGTTATTTTTATCATATTATTATTTATTATTTTAAGGGTAAAGTTAAAAAGTTAAAATTTTATAGTAAAAAAATATAAATTTATTCAACTTTATATTTTTATACATAAATATAATTTTGTAAATTTACACTATATTCTCAATAGAGTACTTTCAAACCAAATTCTACAATTCTTCGGTAATTACATTCCTTACAATAATCACTTTCTTTTATTATATCAAATGCTGTAAAATTATTTTTTCAGTAATTACATTCCCAGCAATCACATACCTAATAATTACATTACAAGTAATCGCACTCTTAGTAACATACTAAAAGCTAGGGGTGAGCAAATTGGTGAATTGAGTAGTTTGGTTCATCATACTTACGGACCACACGAATCAAATATTTTTAAAAAATCAATCAAATCTAACCAAACATAAAAAAAGACCAAACCGACCAAACATAGAATTAGTTTGGTCAGTTTAGTTTTGGACCAATGAATTAAAATTTTATTATTTTTTTTAAAAATTATAATATTAAAACTTATAAACTTCATCTATAATTATAAAATATATAAATGATATATAAATTAAATATGTGGATATGTATATAATAGTACTTTATTATATATAATATTGCTTTATTATATATATAAAATTAATGACACAAATTATATGTTAAAATATTTTAATTTTTATATCAAAGTTTATGTAAATAATAACTAATTATAAATAATATGTTATAAAAATTAAGGTGATAATTAATAAGGTTATCGAGTATAATCATATAAATAGAGTTTATTACAAATTATAGTGATACTTATATATAAATTAAATATATATAGTATTCATATAATTATATATATTCATAATTTTTTATATTATGAACCATTACCAAGGTGTAATAATTACAACATATTAATAATTAGGATATTTACTCTCATATAATATAACATTAACATATAAGTTATATCATTTAAAATATATAGCTTGCAATTTCATATTAATACAGATTTGTAAATAAATATATAGAAGATTAAATTGCTATGATTATGATTTGTATATATACATATAACAAACTAATATAATTTAATTATATTATTAATTAATTTTACCATAAATTCTTCTTAATATATAAAAAAATTATATCTATTAATATATATAAAAAATATAAAAAAATTAATTTAATTTTTTGAATGGATGATTTAAAGATTTAAGATTGAGAACCCATATCAAAATTAATTAAATCCAATATTTTAGAATAATTGATTCAAGAAATCAATTAGATCAAATCATTTTACTTAAAATGCATTTGAGTTAAATAGATAATTGGTTTACCAAAGGTAACTTACTTTTCTTAAAAAAAAAAAAAAAAGTAAATTAAGTTGGAGAGATAAGGATAATCTTAATTTTAGTCTATTTCTCCCAAATCCCTATATCTCTATCACTCGCCTAACAGGCGAGTGGAGCCCACTACCAGGCTACTACTAGTGCTATCTTCTTTTCCTTTCTTGAAGTGGATTTTGGCAGTTGACTGGAGAGGAAAAAAATGGCTGAGACAAACTGTTTAGCGGTGGTGGGAAGTGGCCAAATGGGTTCAGGCATAGCTCAGCTTGGTGCCATGAATGGTCTCCACGTTTGGCTCCTTGATACTGACCCTGTTGCGCTTTCCAGAGCCTCCAAAGTCATCTCTTCTTCCCTTCAACGCTTTGTTTCCAAAGGTCAACTCTCCCAGGTAAACTTGGTTTTCCATCTTTGATGATGATTCTTTTGTGTTTCTTTTGGGTTTTGTTAACTTTTATTTTGATGGGGGTGGAAGTCTTGAGCAGGTGATTCTTTCCAGTTAAGCAATTAGCCTTCTGACAGTTGGCTGGACTACTCTGTATGTATGTGTTGATGAGTTGAATTTTCCTTCTTTTCTTCTTTTTGTATTTAGTTTTATATTGAAATTCTACATAGGAGAAAAAAGGTGATCAAAATGAATAAAGATGGTGCTAGTGATGAACAGTTGTTTTTAAAGGGCTTCTTTTGAATGAAAAGATTCTTTTGTTTTTTGGGTGTGAATCTGATTGAAATTTAGATTGGGTGTGAGTTCAAACAGATTCAAGTTAGCAATCCAGATAAAAGCTTGATCTTAAATAGAGGTTCGATCCAAGTTGATAACTTTAGTGCTGCTTTAGCTTTTGAGCTGAAGAGAGAAGAATTTCTGGCTTGATTGTTTGTGTCTAAGATTCTAGATTTTTCATACTTAATTCAGCATTAATTTCTTACACTTGTTCAAGGGTGGAAAAATCAAGTACTTGATGGAAGAACTTGGTGGATGAAATTATTGATGAGAAGGCAACTATATGCTCTTTATAGATATTGTATTGGTGATTGCTTTTGATTCTGTGACTGGTATTAATTGAGGTTGTGGGAGGTTATAAATGCTAGAGAAAATTATGGGAAACAAAGGAATATAAAATAAAATAAGTAAAAACAGTAAGAAGTTTGAGGCATGGTATCATTATCCTTAAAGGATAATTTCCGTCCTTTCGGAGTACAAAATTCAGTGCAAAAGTTACTGTAGCATTTTCTTCATAGCTTGCACAAACCATTAAGGCATGCATAAAACATTTTTGGAACATTTTGATCAGAAAGCATTAACGTAGCCAATCTCATAAGAGACGTTGGTTTTCTGTAGCATGGATTGGGCTGAGGTTGCAATGTGAAACATGTTAATTGTATTTTAATCAGTAATATGTTTGAAACATTTTAATAACATTATAATCTGAAAGAAATACTGTTAACGTACCACAGAGAAGAGGTCATTGGTTTTCCATAACATGGGTTGGGCTGAGGTATTAACTTTAAGGTTGCACTGTGAAAAGACTCCTTGAAAAATTTCTCCAATAAGCCTGTCCTTCCTCTTTCCAATCGCATGAACCAAAGTAAGTTGAGAGGGAAGTCCCTTTTTTCAGCCCATCCCTTTTTTCTCTTTAATTTATATGAAGGAAGGGTGTAATTAGATGTCTTAGATATTTGGCTAAGTAGGCATAGTAAGTGATGAAGCCTTGAAGAGCAACACTAATGAATGTTCTTGACTAAATAGTGCAATCTTAAGTAGCATAACACATTTTATGTCAAATGGTATTGGATAGATTAGGTCTAACTTCTTTTTTTCATGGTTATTACTCTTTTCCTGATATAACTGACAACAGAAAATTGTGGTACACACTGACAGAGAAGAAGGGGAAAAAGGCATAATAGCAAATTTCTTGTCTGCCGGTATCAGTTTTTAGTATTTCATTTTTTGACTTGACAGGCTGCTAGTACTGATGCTTTAAGACATCTGCAATTTACTTCAAATTTGGAAGAACTGCGATCAGCAGATTTTATTATTGAAGCAATTATAGAATCTGAAGATGTGAAGAAAACGTTGTTTCTTGAACTAGATAAGATTGCAAAGAGTTCTGCCATTTTAGCATCAAATACAAGTTCCATCTCCATTACTCGATTAGCATCTACAACCAGCAGACCGCACCAGGTTATGCTCAGTGCATCTTTCTAGTTTTACCCTGGAGCCATGTTCAGAATATTTGATACAATTGACAATCACTTGCAAAATCACATCGCAGCTTCTTTCTGACCTTGCATGAATTGTCTCTACCAATTTCAAGGTGTCAGGGCTCTGATTAGGTTGAAGCAACATGTTTTTGGCAGGTGATTGGGATGCATTTTATGAATCCTCCTCCTATAATGAAGTTGGTTGAGATTGTGCGAGGTGCAGACACATCAGATGAGACATTTCATGCAACAAAAGCCTTGGCAGAGAGGTAATGTTATTTGCGTGTAAAAAACATAATTAACTTCATTTCCCCCAGTGATAGTTTCTCCATTCAAGTGTGTTTGGCTATATCCATCTGGTCAAATTGATTACAATTCTTGGCTTTCGCATGATTGATCAAGCTAAAACATTCTCCAAATCTCTAAATGTGGAAGGGGAAAATGGAAATTGGGGGTGGGGCGGGGGAAATGGATTCATATCACCAACAATTGTACAGTTGTGAAGTCTTCTGCGTTCTTGAAAGTTACACATCTGAGGATTTGATGTGGATCCCTTGTGGTGACCTGCTGGCTACTGCATGAATGGTCACCACATTATTTTTATAGCCATTTTAACTCAACTATGAATTTGCAGGTTTGGTAAGACAATAATATGCTCTCAGGACTATTCTGGCTTTATTGTGAACCGGATCCTGATGCCAATGATAAATGAAGCATTTTTCACACTCTATACTGGGGTGGCAACCAAGGAAGATATTGATACAGGAATGAAGTTGGGAACAAACCATCCAATGGGTCCCTTGGAGCTTGCAGATTTCATAGGATTGGACGTGTGTTTATCCATAATGAAAGTTCTATATACTGGTCTAGGTGACAGTAAATATGCCCCTTGTCCCCTTCTTGTGCAGTATGTTGATGCAGGTCGCCTTGGGAGAAAACGTGGTATTGGGGTGTATGACTACCGTAAGCTGCCTGAACCTATAAAACCATCTCCTCGACTCTGAACATTTATTATTTCCTGAATAATGAATAACAAAAATAGTGCCTAAAGCTCATAAGTCGTATCTTTGAGTTCAAATGTGGCAATACAGAGTCCTGCAATCAAGTGTTGTATAAGTATGTACCTTCATCCGTGACTTCACAACCACAATATTGACACATCAATATTGCACCCTAGATTACTGAGATGAGGTTACCAGTTACCATTTTCATTTATTCCCTTTATCTCTTAGTACAATATTGTTGGGGAACGAGATGGGGATTCTTCAGTTGGGAAGCATGTGCTTTGGAAAAATAACATGGGGGGTGGGGTACAGGTGCAATGAAGGGCAAACATGCCCAAATTCCAGGTAAGAAAGTTCCATAACAAAAATGTTAAATTCCCTTGTCAGCTACATTTGCCATTTTTTGTTCGTATCTTTTAAGGAATTCATATCTAATACAATGCCTAACTATTTTTCTCTCATGACTATGGGTACATGGATATGAGTTCGAATGCAACTAGTTCATTCAAATAATGGTAGCAATTGGGATTACTCTCAGATCACTAGTGGCTGCTGCTCTGTTTGGGCAAGCATTAATTGGTAATCGCCTCATTGATTTTATTCCCCATGTCTGTTAAATTGACAAAAGACTGGTTGTACTATAATTTACCGCTGTGAAATGAAGTGATGTCAAGTTATATTGCTAGAACTAGTCAAACTAACTAGTATCATTGATGCTGTGAACCTTGTGAACGTTTATGTTGGGATTTGAGGATAGATCAAAGTGCTCTATTATCTCTAAAATATTCTATTCTTGCATATAAGGAGGTGAATGTGACATTATATGGGTACATGGATATGAGTTTGCTGGGCAGATGGTTGATATTGATATTGATGAGTGAACATGTCCCCTAGCTTAGATGAGGATCCGAAAAGATTCAAATCTTGAATACACTACAGAAACCTGACAAGTGAATATTTTTAAACCATATACAATTATCTTCCATAATACTTAATTAGCTCCAAAAATAGTATTCTTTCTTCAAGTTGGTTGCATGTGCGGTAGATTGGCAATTTGCCAAACTTTATCCAAAAGGCGATACAGCTGTCAGAGGTTAATAGAGTCAATTGCAATAAATAAAGAATGCAAATTGGATTTCAATTCTTGACAAACATCATTATTGGGATAGACTACGCCATAATATTCTTCAAAAAGACGTAGCTTTGTGGTACACTTTTTGTTTTTAGAGGGAATTCAATCACCTCAATTATAAATTGTGTCTTCTATTATACTTTCATATGGAATGGTTAGGAATTAAGACTATGCAGTGAAATGATAGAACTCATACTCATTACCATTTTCTATGGCAGGTTGTATAAAATGAGGGAATCCCTTTTCATGCTTTTTAACAACAGAGATATTGGGTAGTACTTTTATTGGCTAATGTTGTTATTGACAAGTTTCTCAATTTCAACCTCATGGTAATAATTTAAACGTATGCAGCATATTGCTTGCCAGCTTAGGAATCTTTAGTGTGACGCAAGGAAATTAAAAGGAGGCCCTCCTTTTTGTAACAGATCATGGCCAAGCTTGACCCACAGGATAGGAGCCTTGTTAGGAGTATGAACTTCAATGTTGATCATGGGGTAGACCCACAACCCTGGGCCACCTTTCATACCCCTAACCCTAAAGTTGGAATTATTAGGCAGCATCTTCTTTATTGAAAGTGATTGAAGTGGAATCCAATGGGGTAATTGCAAAATGTTGGAAAATATGAACAACATTATAAGTCAGGAAACAAGATAGAAAAAGCTTAAACTTTCTTTCATCTCTCTTTACATAAGATTTTTAGGGCATTTGGAAACCAAGCAAAGCCCCAAAAAAAAAAAAAAGGGAAAAAAGCCAAGCCATGAAGTTCTTGTTTCAGTGTCCTTGCTGCTCTTGTTTCTGCTTCATGAAGCCCAAGAAAGGGAAACCAAAGGTGAAGGATGCCAAGGAAGAGAAAGCAGGGAAGGAAGTGAAGGCAGAGTGAAAATGCAAACTGCAATTTGGCTGAAACGATATATACTCCATTTTCTTTCTTCTATTCCTACCTGCTGCTCAAGTAATTGTATGTAACTTCCTTCATTTATCTGAGTTTACATGGGAATGCTGCCTTCTCCACCCTTATAGTATTGCCTTGTACTGAAATAAGAAAATGGTATTTTACTGCCATGTATGTCCTGCAAATGTTGCTTGATCAGTAGCATACTTACGGCTCTGCTTTCTTCTAATTTTATGGGATATCGTTAGAAACAGCAGATCTGCTTGTATAGCTACATTTTCCTGAGAAATAAATGATAAAATTCATGGGGGTCTACTTCACTATCCAAGTTTTGCAGTTTTCATGTTCTACCCTTTACATTTTAGCATCATAATCTGGCAATTTGATTGGTATTTTGTTGAAATATAGGATCGAATTCACCTGCTACGAAGTTTCTGGCCTGCACTCAAGAATCAAAGCATCCATTAACTTTGAGTTCAGTGCTATGACGTTGTGGGCTTTTCTTGTAAAGCTTTAGTTTCAGTTAAAAACAGGCTCTTACGTGAGGAGAAATGTGACACGCAAACACCAACAGAAACAGAAACAAAAGCATGTGAAAAAAGGGGCAAAGGATTAATGTAAGAAATTAAACTCTGACCCACACGGCCACACATTATTGCTTTGTCCGTCTGTAACCATGTTCTCATCTGGAAAAATCAGTCTGACTTTTGAGGCTGTTCATGCACCTGAATGCCGGTCATACTGCAAAAAAAAAAATAAAAAAAAAATCTTAAATATGAACTTAAAGTTGCAATTCAGTTTTTTTTAATAAAAAATTATTTTTTATAATTAACTATTAATTAATTAATATTAATTAAAATATTATTAATTATTTTATATTATATAGTATTGATATAGTATATTGACATGTGATAGTAAATGATAATATATCATATTAATGTGATATGATGATATAATTATATAATATTTTTTATGTTCTATATTACTACCATTTTAACATCATGATAATGCAAAACCTAATCTCGTGATTACGTGTCTTATATCTTAATAATCTCATATTAGTTAACCTTAAGTCAAAGTTTCTTTTGTCTACTAATGTTTTTAGAAATCAAGATTACATTCTTTAATCATATTATTTCGTCAATTGAGATTTTAAAATGATTAGAATATTAAAATTAGTTTTCAAATCTATCAACCTCAAGTAAAATTTTTGAAATATCTTACATTGTTTTTTCCAATAAGGTTTAGATGCATGAATCATTTGTGACCTTCAATTTTTATTTTCTTTTAGTAACTTCACAATTTGTTGCTTTCCTCTATCTTTGTATCCTCTACTTGCATTTAAACATTTTAAATCACATAGTTCCTTTGGACTTTAGGCTTTGAATCATGGAGATGAACACATGAAAACTCAGGTAATAAACCAATTATAATTGATAGGGACTTCAAATTTTTTCTACTAACAGATTAAATTTAACCTAATTTAATTGATTCTCTTATTTAAAATTTGAAGTTTAGCTTTTGTTATGAATTGATCTACTGAAGTAACCAATTAGTATATATAATATGTAGGTGAAAACTTAAAGTTAAGTATATAAAATCACAAACATTACTATATAAGAATTTGCCTAGACTTGTCAATGGAACGTTTTATTTTTATTTAATTTTCTTTTTAAAAATATTGAAATATTAATTTTTTAATATTTTAATAATAAAAATAACATAAGTGGGTTTAAATGGGCATTTTGCACCCTTGGGCACCTCTAGTTTGTACCAATTTACAAAAAATATTTGTATAATTGAAAAGCAATACTTCCTAATATCAATTAATTCCTTATAAATATGGATTTTTGCAGGAAGGTAAAGCTAGAATTGAAGCTTAACTACTATTATATTCTTCATTTGTACTTCTCATATATTTCAACTGAAACAATAAATAACTAATATGCTATGAACTCAAATAAAGAATTCATCAAAAAAGTTTATGATAATAAAGAAAAAATTAATTTTAGAAACTAGCTAGTGACAAAATCAAAGGCCTTTTGACTTTTAGTATTAGATTTTTTTTTCATTTTCCTTTTCTATTTACACCCTAAGTATTTAGAGTACTAGATATAAGGTAAATAGTAACTAAATTTGAACAAGAGATTAAAAAATGTAGTTTCAAACTTGGAAAAACCAATTATAATGGTATTTCAAATTAATTTCATAATTGAAATTTTTTTTTTTGACATTTATTTATTCCCCTTATTTTATTTATCATTTACACTGTAAAAACTAGAGATGGAAAAAAATTAAAAGATATAATGTTTGAAAATGTCCTTAAATTATTAAAAAAAAAATAAACAAGCTCTTATCTCTTTATTATATTTAATTAATCTTTATATTTTTATTTTAAATCAAATAAGTATTTATATAATAGTTGACTATAATTACAATTAGTTTTTTTAAAAATATAATTATGATTAGTTAAAATATCACGTATTATTTTTATTTTTATATAACATTGACATTAAGTTGACGTGACATTGATTGTACAATACCCCACCACAAATGTTATGATAATATATTATAAAATCTCAAATTTGACAAATGGATCCTTTATTGAATTACTTTATAAATAGTTGGGCTAATATTAGTATATTCTTATGTTAGAGACTTATTAGAAAATAAAATATTTAGTAAGTATTTAAATAAATTATTTAACATTAGTTAGTTTTCTTTTAAGGAGAAAACCCTAAGAGAGAAACTGAAGTTGGAAATTGCACAAAAACCCCAAGTTTATTTAATATTTGTTCAATTTTCATCCAAAATTAGTATCGTTCTGATGACTTTTGGGCAACATGATAGATACTAATAGAAAGATCTTAAAAAATCTTTCTAATAATTTTTATAACACCTCATTTAGTTGAGTGATTAGACACATATGAATTTTTGTGGTTGAGTAGAAACTTATTTTTGATAGTTTGAACCACCTAACTTTGGGTTATTCGAACTCTACATTTTGGTAATTTTTTTAGTCAATTCTTTGAGGGTTTTTATTGTATGAAATGTGGCCTTTAATTTAGTGTTAATGGTGGTTAGGGGTTTTTTGTGTTAAGAAAATCGAAGACTCAAGTTGCTTGTTGAAACTGAAACCTAAAAATTGTAGATATTTCAGTGATAATTTTGTGAATTTTGGCATTTGAAAGTTGTGTTTCTGTTGATCTTTGTTTCTATAATGAATTTGTTTAGTAAATTATGATATGTAAGGTTCACTTTAATACTGATTACATCTCTAGTTTCGACTTAGGTTGTAACTTATAATTTCTTAAAGTAGGCCAAATGGCCATGGAAATTTAAAATTCTAAAATTTATGAAAACTTGCTTTTAATTATTTTGAATATATATTTATTTCACAAATTATATTTGAATTTGCTTGTTTTGAAAAAATTATTAACAATCTTCAAAAGCTAAATTTTTGTTAGTATTTGAAGTATTTCATAAAACTCCATATTTGTTACTGATTTTGTACTTTAACCTATGAGTTTCTAAGTTTTGAATGTTTTTATATATTTATAAATTATTAAATAAAGTAAATCTAAATTTTGAAAAATATTTTAAAATTAGTTTTAGTTAGAGAAAGAGTTGTTACACCTTAAATACCTTGGAACGACTGGTGGAGTTATGGGTTGTTTTGATAAGTTAGTAGTATTGGTTTATAATTTTGAGTATTTTGAATTAATAGGCTTTAGAATGATTTCGATTTTTATCCTTTAGTTTTGGTTTTAGTGAATTAAATAAGTGACTTAATATTGTTTTGGTGTTTTCACACTCTAAAAATTTGCTTTAATGTGAATATGGATTTCCTAATAATATTTTATCCTATGAATAGTTAAAATTCAATTGAGCACACACACACACACACACACACACACACACACACACACACACACACACACACACACACACATATATATCAATTCCTAATAATGGGTTTAGAATGTGAATTTTGTGAATCATGATTCTTATTTTGAATTTGAATATAAATTTATTTAATGTATGCATATATAACTATTTTTGTGAATACAAACATAAAATACTTCGTTTGAAACAAATATGTGAAATTTGATGTGCACGAGATATGTTTTGTGAAAGTGGATAATATTGTTTTGCGAATTTGACTAATTTGAAAATACGTTTTGTCTTATCTCCTAATATGGTTATACTATGACTTTACCCATGAGGGTTAAATATTGGCCATGTTGACATGTATTTTGTGATTAAAGATCTGTCTCAAACCGTGCCATCGGTTACAAAATAATGATTTTATGATATATATATATATATATATATAATAAAATATAGATAGATAGATAGATAGATAGATAGATAGATAGATAGATGCACTGTGCTACCATTTGTTGCTTCTGATATGCTTATGACCAATGCCATTAGGATTAATTGTGGTTTTGTTATGAGTATGACCTAAGTTACAGGGGTTAAGTGTGGCCATGACATGTGACAAGACACCACTAAAATTGATGATCTTTGCGAAATTATGTCGGTTTTGTTATCTTAAATATAATTACTTCTATTATCTAAAAATGTAATTTTGAAAAAACAAATTTATGAATGAGATTGTGTAGAAATTTTGTTTTGATATCTATATGAATATTGATAATTTTGATTTAAATGTTTTGAAGCATGCTTAATTCAACTAAGGGGATGTCAGTTACTTACTGAGTGGTTGTAGTCATTCTTTTAACTTTAATCATTTTTACAGAATTCAATATCATTGCATCTTTGGGGAATTAGATTAGTGTGGCGAGAACTTTGGTTAGCAAAATTAGCATCTGTCCATTTAATTTATATAAACTTTGATGTGACTATTTGATTTTAGTTAATTAGATGGATAATGTTGTATATTTCTTAGAATTTATTGCATTTTGATTGCATTTGGTGACTTAAAGTTTTGTAAAATGTAAATTTTGAAGTGACTTTTGGAGACAATACATTTGATTCGTATAATATCCTTTGCTTTATATGTTTATGGGACTCATTTCATGAGCATGTGATGTCTGTTATGTTATGCATTTGGAACGTGATAAATTAGATGTTGAAAAATATTACATTATCATATTATTATCTCACATTAAAATGTTATATCATAACATGTCATTTTACCATGTCAATTGACGTTATTACTTCAATCTTCAATCTTAATTAAATGGGCAATTGTTACTGTTTAATTAAATAAATAGGGTATCTAACGAGGTAATAGCCCCATTATTACTTCAATCTTCAGTACCAATATTAATTTCTCTGCCATGTCTTTCATATGAAATTAATTTCTTTTGTCTCTTGTGTTTAATTTGTTTGACAGCAATTCAAATCATTCACGTGCATCATTAATTTGAGAATTGTGACCACAATTTGCTTTTTCATTGACTTGTTCAACTATATATATATATATATATGTGTGTGTGTGTGTGTGTATATGTGTAAATGTATGCACTTGGTATAGAAGGAATTAAGACAGCCACCAGCTTTAAGTTGATAAGATCAATTGTTTTCTCCTTGAGAGCTGCCAAAGGAGAAGAAGATAGAGATGCCATCATCAAACACAGGTTTAGATACAGCTGCCTTGTTATCAGAGGCAAATGAGCATGATCGAGGAAGGTGGTGGAAGAAAGTATTGGACTTGCACGAGGCCAAGAATCAAGTTATCTTCTCACTTCCAATGATTCTTACAAATGTTTTCTATTTTTCCATAACTATGGTGTCTGTCATGTTTGCTGGACACCTTGGAGAGCTTGAGCTTGCTGGTGCAACACTTGCAAATTCTTGGGCCACAGTCACCGGCTTTGCTTTCATGGTTAGTTTTCATTTCGTATTTAAATAAACGATCATGTGTTTATTTCTTTAATTTATTATGTCTAGTTTCGAAAGAAATCTATGTGACTGTCTTCTTATATGGCTAAGGACAAAATCATTAATTAATTTCCCAGTCCTCCCTCTCTCTGAGCCCATCTCTTCCTCTTTCGGCTTAAGGTCTATTGCTGGACCAAGAAATAGTTTAGTCCTTGGAAAAAAATTGTTCATTAAAGCTTAATCTTTTGTCTTTTTGTCCTAACAATCCTTCCATTCTGGACCAATGGTTTAATTTATTTGTCAATATTTTGTCTAGCATTTGCTGCTTGACTTTTTGATCTTTCTCCTGTTCTTGTTTTAGACAGGACTAAGTGGAGCACTAGAGACACTTTGTGGTCAAGGATTCGGTGCAAAAATATACAGGGTGTTGGGAATTTATCTCCAAGCATCCTGCATCATTTCTTTCCTTTTCTCTGTTTTCATATCAATCTTATGGTTCTACACCGAGCCGATACTTGTCTTGCTCCGACAAGATGCTCAAATTTCAAAAACTGCAGGCTTGTACATTGGGTATCTCATTCCAGGTTTATTTGCATACGGCTTCGTGCAAAACATTTTGAGATTTCTTCAGACACAAAGCGTTGTAATGCCCCTGGTCTGGTTCTCGGTCCTTCCATTGGGCTTTCATTTCGGCATTGTGTACTCTTTGGTCAATTGGACAGATCTTGGTTTCAAAGGAGCTCCATTAGCAGCTTCAGTTTCACTATGGATTTCATTTCTTTTGCTAGCTGTTTATGTGTTTTCTGCCAAGAAATTTGAGCAAACATGGCAAGGAATGTCGTTTGAATCGTTTCAGTACATTCTCACAAACCTGAAATTAGCCCTCCCTTCTGCAGCAATGGTTTGGTGAGTTTTCGAACATCTGATCAAATTTTTCTCTTACTATATCATTTCTGATAATATGAGGAACAAAATAACATTCTGGCAGAAGGACTCTTATAAACTTGAAACCTTGCTACTCTTTTTGCCAGTTTGGAGTACTGGGCGTTCGAGCTTCTTGTGTTGTTAGCAGGCTTGATGCCTAATGCAGAAGTTACTACTTCATTGATTGCAATGTGGTAAGCTTGGCACCATAGTTTTCAAATATGTATTGACTCTATTACGTTACATGGAATTAGGATAGGGTATCAGACACGGATACATCATGTTTTCGACAAATGTTCTTTACATTAATTTTTGGAAAACAGGTGTCAATACCCATATGAATAATAAATTGTTCCAAAAAAAAAAAGTAAGACAAATAAATTAGGGTAAATTGAAGAGTCCATGTTAGACAGTGTATTGGTTGGTTATTCCCTTTATTTTAATCTTAATCATTTTGAAGATTGACATGGTTTTTTTTTTTTTTTTTGTGATAAGCGTGAATACAGAAGCCATTGCCTACATGATTACTTATGGCCTTAGTGCTGCAGCAAGGTTAGTTTGTTGAATATCTTCTACCAGTTGTTCATAAATCTCTAAGATTATAAATACTGAGAAACTCAAAAACATTTTACAGCACAAGGGTTTCAAATGAGTTGGGAGCTGGACGTCCTACTCGGGCAAGGAATGCCATGGCTGTCACACTCAAGCTTTCCGTCCTTCTAGCTCTTGCAGTTGTCCTTGCTTTAGCATTTGGTCATAGTATCTGGGCTGGTTTCTTTAGTAACAGCTCTATAATTATAAAGAAATTTGGGTCAATGACACCCCTGCTTTTGATCTCAATAACAATTGATTCTTTTCAGGGAGTCTTATCAGGTTTGAAGTACCACCAACCAGCATTTTTGTCTTAAATGTTTTTCCAGATTGAAGTTAATGATTCTAATTTTCTATGTTGCAGGGGTGGCCAGAGGAATTGGTTGGCAGCTCTTGGCAGTGTGGGCTAACTTGGGTACTTTCTATTTCATTGGAATGCCAATTGCAGGCCTTCTTGGATTTAAGTTTAAGCTTTATGATAAGGTGAAGATTATAATTCTTTTTCAACCCAAGTAGTTAATTAATTACATTCCGTAATTCTGTTTTTAATCTTCCTTATTATTCACTTTTATGCTTTATTGCTCGTCAGGGTTTGTGGATAGGCTTAATATGCGGTCTCTCCTGCCAAGCCGGTGCCCTCTTGTTGATTACCTTGTATAGAAAATGGACTAAAGTTGTGCTTTAAGCAGAAATCGGCAAGGAAACTGGCAATTGCATTTTATGTTGGAGCATTGAGAATATTAATAAATATTCATTGGGCCAAAAATTTGACCAAATTAAATCGGTTGTTGAGTTGATCCTAGGTTACAAGACCAAGTTGTTATACAGGTTTATATATTTGCACTGTTATTGGGCTTGAAACCTAGCCGTCGAGAAAAGAAAGGTAAACATCATCCTCATAATATGTCCATCATCCGAGGCATAAAACATCAACCTCCAACACATACACACACGCATGCATATATATATATAACAACCTGTATGCATACATCTATTTGCACATGGATTCACACGATGCTCAATACAGAGCGACAACATAAATCACTTTGTGCTTATATACATCAATGTGCAAATCTCAAAACAGCGTCACCCCTTGGTTACATCAAGTCTATACTGAATTATCTAGTATATCAAAACCCGCGACTCGTACAATTGAAAACTCAGGTGCAAGGTTGCTATCGAATGTTATAGACATACCTACCAATTGAGGGATATGGGTAGGACTCATCACCTTACGATCCAATTATCTCTGGATCTGAAAATAAAAACACGAAATTTTGAAAACGGTGAGCATAACTCAGTGAAGGACATAAAATGAGAACAAGCAAATAACGAGTAAGCTTAATAAAAACTATGAATACAATTTATGATACTTAAACACCCTCCCATACCTGTAACTCAAAATTTGTCAAAGCTTTAATCCAAAAGTCATTTGATATATACCTCAAAATCAAATTAAGAATATACTTGGGACATAATTCCTCAATTTAAAATATAAAGCATTCGTGAAAAATTACTTAAACAGTTCAAGTTACAAATTTGTGGTGGAGCATACTAGTGAAGCACTAAATACTTAGTCCCATTGACCTTAAGTCCAAGATAGTGTATTCCACGCCCCACTATCCAGGGTGCTCCCAATGGTCAAGTGTACGTAGCCACTAATGTTATGTATATAATGCTTGAGCCATCCTCCGATCACAAGGCTAGCACCATTACCACGCCCTCTGCTAGCTGGGATGCTTTCGCCATTTGCACAGTGTCTGGCGATATTGTCACTAGTACAGATCCTTCACCATAACTGCTCCACCAAAACATTTGTCTCATAATCAAAACCACATGACATGTAGCTTGGCTACCATGTCCCTTAGTACACACACATATAAAACATTTGTATAATTTGAAACCACATGACATGTAGCTTTGCTACCATGCCCTTAAGTACACATATAGATACCATTACATAATATTTTGAACTGTCAATAATTTATATTTTAATTTGAAACCAGCAGCAGACATCAAAAAATAAGGCATTATCAACAAAAATTTCTATCAGTAATAGTTCAGATTTTGTTAGTATATGTCATTATCGATGGAAATATTGATGAACATTTTTGCCGGTATTCGATAAAAAATACTGTGTTCGGTAACAGCAAATCTATCGGTGACAAAATATTTCATTAGGATTTTTGTCAGCAAAGGCTTGAATTCATCGGTCGATCTTTCGTCAATAATAAGGGAAATTCGGCTGATAATTTCTCTTCATAATCCCTAACGGAATAAATCCGTCGGTAATTCCATTGATAAATACCGATGGAATTGCTTGTGGATAGTTGACGGAGTCAGCTTCTAAGCTTACAAGCTGTATTCATTGGCAATGGCTCAGAATATGTTGGTATTTTGTCGATATTTTGTATGAACTTCATCAGTAATGGATGAATTTTGTCGATAATTTCGTTAGTAATTGATGAACTCTGTCGATAATAGATGAATTTCATTGGTAATAATTGCAAAATTAATTTTTTTCAGGAAATTAAATTTTATTTGATTCGTAATAAAATTATCATATGATACGATTATTGACAAAGTAAATATATAGCAAACATATATGCATATAAAAATATGAAAATGTAATACAAATCATAATTATTAAAAAAAATTCGATGTAAACATATGATAATAATCCAAATAAGTTTCTACTACAAAGCTCACCAAAAAGGTGTGAGTAGCTCTGCTGTTGCTATTGTGGTGAACTTGACTACTATGATGAGGAAGATCTAGACGCGTCTAAAGGTGATAACCTTGTTGCGATGACCTGTAATACCCTTCACAAAAAAATATATAGTTTTATTTGATAATTGTAGATATAGCCTTGGGGTTATTAATAAAAAGAGAAGATAAGAAAGGACCTTTTAGAAAATAGAGTAGATAAATTTTAATTAGTATAAAATTACACTATCTGTTTAAAAAGAAAATAAGTCAGTTTTACCTTATCATATTTTAAAAATAAAATCAATCAGTTTTATCTTAACACATTTAAAAGAAAAGCAATCACCTAATTTTATCATGTTTTAAAAAGAAAAATAATCAATTTTATCTTAGCACCATTTAAAGAAAAGCAATCAGTTGAAAAAAAATATTAGTAAAAGATAACTCAGTCTTATATCATCAGGCTTAAGAGAAAGATAGTCAAAAGAAGGAAAAGAAGAAGAAAGACAAAGAAAAAGGAAAAGTATTTGAGCAATATTTGATTAAAGTATGATTAGAGTTGTATTTTTTAAGTTTAGGGACAATACCTCTAAATTATTTTGTGTTTGCTTAACTTTTATTCAAATCTAGTATTGTTCTGGTGGCATGATGGGTATTAAGGGCCACAGGGTTTAGGCCCACAAAGTTGATGGGCTAATACTTGGACTTGGGTCATTATTAATGGTATTAGAGTATGTGTCAGCCTGATGTTGTCTTCTGCATTACGCTGGTGAGATCTTGATCCTGTGTAATGGGCTTTGATTGTGATATGATGTGTTACCTTGATGAGAACATCAAGGATTTGAGTGGGTGGGATTACGATACCCCACATCTTACATCTAATATGAATGTGATTGTTAAAACTTATTTAACAATTTAAGTTTATTACTACTAGCAACTTGAGCTTGAACTTTTAATGGCCATGTGGTTTGGGCTCAAAATATTATAAGGCCAGTGCTTAGACTGGGTCGTTACATAATATTTAATAAGTTATTAATTTTGCCATTGACGTCATCAAGGTACTGATGTTACTAACCAATTATCAATGTCCCTCTCCCTTGGGCTTAAGTGTGGGAGGTAGCGGAGGTCATGTAACGTCAGGACCACAAGTAGACTCAAACGTCGTAGTTGGAGCTAGAAGTCTTAAAGTGGCGACTCTAGTGCCAAATCCGTTGACGTGGGTTTGAGTATTATTGGCGTTTAATGGCCTCAGTTCATGCCTCAGGATTAAACTCTGGTTGGATTGATGGCTCATCACTGTACTTCTATGGTAAAGCTGAAGTGTATGATTCCTACAAATAGAAAAGCAATTAAAATTATTAAGTTATTTAATCGGTAAGTAACATATATATCAAATATATATTAACGTACGTATTACTTACACAAACAATCTTGGACTTGTTGTCCACAAATTCTTTGGTACCTTTTTGTTGCTTGTGAGTGCGTTTGAAAACCTAAGAGAATGTTACATGTCGTTGCTTTTCCTTGAATTGTAATAATAAAAAGACGATAAGAATAAAAAACATAAAGAATTGTTAACACCATAAAGAATTGTATTATTAAAGTGAATAATTTTTATAGTATTACAATAAAGCACATACCATCCTTTTCTAGTGTAGGGCGAAAGGTAAATAACCGCATGTATGTTTTGTTATATTGCTGTCCTTCTTTATCAAGTGGTTTTGCTTGGCCTTATGTGAGTGTGGCTACCACTCGGGCTTGGACCATACATTATCAACTAGTTGGTCCCTTACTTCAACAGTGATTCAAGTTCGCTCCTTACCCTTCTTCAATAAGAGATCGACGTTAGGGTCGCTCTGTATCTCTCTTGGCCTTGTCGCGCTTATCCGTTAATAGATCCTTGCGGTGGTCCTCGAAAATCTTCTTCCACATGGATCAGACCTCCATTACATCTATAGTAGCCATGTAAAAGATTCCTACATCTAATAAAAATATATATTAGTACAAGAAATTATGATAGATATACACTAATACACCACTTGTTACCTCAAATTTACACCACATGTTATCCTTATGTTCTTGAGGAACCTGCCTCCATGTTGGCCAAGGTCCATTAAAGTTGGTCTTGATACTCTACGTAATTGTCGGAGTAACACCAATTTCCTCAAAAGTATTACAAAATAGTATTTATTATTAGTAAAACGCATGAATAAATTAACTAAATTGACTGCATATAATGATATAACTTGGAGTAGAGAAAATTACCTCCTTTGAGAGGATGCAGAAGTATCCGTCGGTCTGGATGAGTTGGAGTGGCTAGTTGAGACTCGGTCCTCAGCCATTAGCTTGCGATGTGTTGTTGGATGCAATAGTAGCCTCTAGAATGGGGGTTCCGATTGGAGTTGTCAAACTCGGTATGGAATGATTCACCATGTGCATCCCACGTTGTATAAGCATAGGTAAACCCTTTATGCAATTGATGTTCCTGAACCTTATTAGCAACTAAGAACTCACTATTCATACACCACAAGCTAAGACATATAATCTTATTCTCAGTCACATATCTTGCTTGATTGAGTGCAAATGAACTAAATTTATCTACACCATTCACAAATTTTATCTTAAGATATCCACTTGAATTGACTTGGGAATACATCCAACTCCTATCTCATTCCATTTTGAGAAAAATATTATAACGGACATATGTTGTCGTCCGTTAGTAGGTGTTAACACAAACATCAATCAAAAATAAAAACAAACTTCAACAGTAGAATTATAAAAATTTTATTTGTTATGATTATATTAAAAACCCTAAAATCTTACTTAATTTAATATTAGTCATATTATTTAATTAATTTATAAAACATTAATTAATTTTAAAAATATAATATTGTATAATATTACTATCCTAATTAATTGCTTAATTACTTATAACACATTACATTATTTAATTAACTCCCTATACCTTCATTACTTCTAATATTTATTAAATTAAACAATATTACTAATTTAATTAATTGATTAATAACTAAAATTATAATTAATTTAAATAATTATAAA